TGAAATCTTAAAAGGATCGTCTCTAAAAATGATCATTGTTTCTGACAACATAAATAAATACTGGTATTGAGCATTACCTCTCCAGAATTATCACCTGTACAGAAGATAGAAATTATAAAATTATCTATCACCGTGAGTGGTCATTTTAAGCAGGGTTCATTGATTATCGCCCAAGTTTCGATTCTAAAGGGAAGTATTGACTCTTTGCGTAGCGATTTTTCTACGTATGATGCAGATACGCGGCATTTCGTTTAAAGAGTTCTTCACGAAGTCATCCATCTTGGTGCAGACAGTCCGTTTTTCATTGAAATAATTAAATCATCTATAGAAATCAAATAACTGCGTTTATTTTTTAATTTTGTATTTAGAAACGCTTGGAATGATTAACTCTAAACACCACAGGGTTCGCTTTAAAAGCGAAACTTTCGTGTATATTGTTACCCTTTTCAAATTTTTCATTAATTTAAAAATCTGAAAAAGTTTCTTGATGGCATTTTTGATGCATTTATTGATGTTGAAAAAAAGAAAATAATTATTTGTAAATAAGTTGATGATGGATCTGCTCTCAACTTATTCCTCAATTATTTCCATCAAAGGAAAGTTGGCAGACACCGAAGAAGATCTTGCCCCCATGCATCCTGATAATAATCAGGGCGAGACAGGATGCCGCCAGAGAAGGCCCTCATTTCGGGATGAGATTTGCTCCAACTCTGTGGAAGATTTCTGTATTGAAGAACTGATTAATTTTGATTATTCTGAGCTATTATAATACACATTTACAGCGTATCAACAAATTTACATCCCATTTAATACAATATAACGTAGAATAAGTAAGATTCCGTATACACTACGGCATCCTGTACAATAATTAGTTACATAATTACTGAAAGGCACTTTTAACTATACGTTTGTAATTTATGTCGTGTCCATACATTTCAGAATCACAATATTTATAGCTTACATGTTAAATACAGAATATATAATAATGTCTGTATTGTTGAATACATTCTAGGTTTGCTATTGTATCTGGGAAAGTTAAATCTTGCCTACCTTTATAGACATCGTAGCGAGTTATCGCTACGTTTTAAATAGTCCCAAAGTACTTATTGTGGCTAAATTAAATTAAGCAATAAAAGTTCAAATCCACGTAATGTAGTCTTAAACTGCACATTCAGTAAAATAATAAATACGGTGACTCAGTTATTTTTTCCAACGCGTAAGTTTAAAGCATCGGAGGGTGAAAATGCCAAAGTCGGAATCACTTTTAAGTAGAGTTGGAGTAAAATTAACAGCAAACGGGAGTGCCAGAAGCTGTCTTCTTCCAAGATTATTCAAAAACTTCAGTTTAAATACAGTCAAGGTAGGGAATAGTTATGATAAAAATCAAAATCGTAATAACTGGTTCATTAACATACGATACGTTACATGATAACTAAGTTGCATGTAGATGGAGTCGATTTAAAGGGTTAATACCTCGGCGTTTTGCATAGTTATCTTAGGATTACTGTTAATCTGAAGGTAGTTAAAAACGCAAGAAAAGGAATACTTATATCATAATTAATTATTTATAATTCAGGAAATAATTTCTTTGGGTTATGAAAATTAAATCAGTAAGAAAGTTAATTAAATCAGTAATACAAAAGATAAAGGACGCACTGTAAATAACGAAACATTAAACATTATTGAAAATGAAAAAATTAAGTTACATGTATAAATAACATTGAAGACAAATACAAACTTGAACAATGTCGTACATTCAAACTCGCTTAAAATCGGTAGTTAGAATGCATTGTTTCTTATCATACAATGTTTATAAAAACAACATACGTGCAATTAAGTTACATAGCAATGTGTCAATAAAAAAAAAATTATCAATTGATCGCTACTATTAGTTCTTGTCTCTCGCATTGCGTTTTTTCCCCATTTTTCCATCAACCATTTTTTTTTTCAAATGTTACAGGACACAAATGTATTAACGCAATTAATAATGAAAATTGGGTATTTGATGCATTTTAAATGCTCCTAAAACTGCAAATGATACTTTTACTAAACCAAATCCCTTTTCATTCAAATCGATTAGGAACTGAGCATATAGATAAGCATAATTTTGCTTGATGATGAGAAAATTCGAAGAGAAGAATAAATTAAATAGCCTTCAACTCAAATTATTTTGAGAAGTTTCAGAACTAGCGATGCAGTGAGCGAGAATTAGCCTCTTTTGGATATTTAGTGCGTATTTCAAATATAATGGAATCACTAACTTCTCTGTGGCGTGTCCATTTCTCTAGCCGGCGCCTTTCATCCTCGAAAAGCGGCTCTCCGGAATGGAGGAAACTAATGTCATTGGCTCTCCAGTCGAGTGCACTCTTCAAAACTGACAGATCCCTTTCCGGATGCCTTTCATGGACTCGACATAACATTGTCAACCCATTTCGTAGGGCTGTGGTTGTCGTGCGGTAGGAAAATGTCTATAAGTAATGCGGGAGGCTGGGATTGTTAACAAAGGATTGATAAGTTAATTTAAATAGGAAATGTGGAAGGCCGATAAAAGATCACATCTACTTATTCGATATGGTGACAGGTAGGTGCTGCTCTCTAGCATAGGCAGAGCAGTGCCTAAGCACCTTGTCAGCTGAGACAAAGATGTGAATCTGCGTCCCTATATTAGCGAGCAATCAAATTAATTTCATCTGTATATTTTTAGTTTTAACAGAGCTATACCAAATCTTATCATAATTTTATAACCATAACATTATATTTTCAGAAAATTAATATACGTAACAATTTATAGCTTTTAAACGCATTACAAATTACCTTTTTAATAAAGAGCAAATAATACTACATATAATATAAAAACATTTTACATTTATATTTAGGTTTTTAGCACCAAAGGGGCTATTAATCTCCAAAATAGTTATATGAAATGTGAAACTTAGAAATACTACATGTAATGTAGAGGAATCCGTGTAGGTCTTTGCTCAAGAAACCTACAAGGTATTTAACTTGTTTGGCCCAATGAATGACTGTGTTATACATGCTGATGTTCTAGTCAAAATGTTTTTTCTTATAGAATAAATGCTACGGATTTTCTGAAATTTATTAAAGAATTAAAAAATATGTTCTAAGGAGTTTCTCTACGCAACAGGATATTGAAAACTGAGATTAAAGGGCCAGAACTAAAATCGTGGGTCGTGAATAGCTCTATAGACAAATTATTCGCAATTTTCTTGGTATTGAAGGAAATTTTGAGTTGTAACATAGTGAATAATTCTTAACACCTTGTACCGGATTTTAAATTTCATGTTCATTACATGGAACGTTAATAGGAATTAAATATTGGGCAGTTCTGTATCTTTTATTGTTACCTAGCTGAAAATTTTCACAATAGTCAGCGTATCATAGGAGTCAGCTCATAATAGGAGATTGCTTTTAGATGGACAGAAGCTGTAAGATATTCGTAGCAGGACAATTTCACTCTGAATTATCCCTATGAGTAAATGTTCCTAAGAAAATTTTCTCCATTTTATGGAAGTATTTTAAGAAATGGGAGGAACAATCAACAAACAAAGAGAAACGCTTAAACGACAACAAGCTAAGACAATTGTTATTTATTAGAATTAATTACAGAAATGTGAAGTCAGCAATCCGGCAGTTCCTTTTGAAGCGCTGCTTGCTTCGGAGACCGATATCGAGGTAAAAAAATGATAGAACACTCAATACAATAAATCTTTAGACCAGAAAGTCTATGAACGTCACTCATTGATACTGAAACACTTATCTAAATTAATGCAAAAAATCATTAGACTTTAACCCGACCTGGATAGGCTTTCGTATCTACAAATATAAGTCAGGATTTATAAATATGATTGTCGGTTTTCATACAGTTCGTTCCGGTGTTATTCTGACTAGTTCAAATGCAAGAGATCATCCTCTTTTCAAAATTCTACAGAGCCTTTTCGTTTAAAGAATATGATGAAACATTCCAGAGCTATCTGGTTTAAGGGGAGATCCCTTCGTGAAGGACTTTCTGATGAAAACTGGCTCGTATTCATATTACATATTTAGAAAACCATAAAAATGCCCATGCAATCAACGCGTTTCATAGGGTTCAAAGTACCCGTTTCTCATCCAATAAGACCCTAGTGAGGCTTGTAGATGTTAAGAAGAGTTGTGAGCAAGTAGAATTGGTTGCCTCAAATTTCTTTATATATTTTTAAACAAAAAGGAGAGTTCATTATGAAACTTAACATTGCAGTTACAGATGACAGCATACTTTCTTAGCTCTTCTAAGGCTAAGATATTTGTGTCTCCCATTTAAACACCCGCGCTTTCACGAGCGTGAATACAGTCATCGGTAATTAATCTATTTCATACACATTAACTATTATTTTATATTATCGAAAATAAAATGTATATTTTTATATGGAATTTTATTAAAACTATTCATGCATTTTTTATCCTTATTCTTATTTTATTTCCGAAGTTTTAACTTTCAGCTAATTGAGGGCATTTGCAATAGCATTTCAAACAACGATCTTCCCTTTCTAATTATCGTAGTAGTCGTTGTCAATATTCCCCTTAGTTATTAGAATAAAAAGCACATGTTTTCATTAATTGCGTTTAAATTAATTCCAATTTTTTCGTATAACTACAGTTGATTTTGTTTCATAATATCAAAGAACACAGATTAAATTCTTTACTGTAAATTATATCTGTCCCACTTTCATTATATAAAATGTCACTGTGATATCGCAAAATTTTATTAACGATAGATTCGGATGTTTTTAATGTAAACGAATTGTTGTTTGAAAATCCATTTTTCTTTTTAAATTTATAAATATCACTAAAGTAAGTCATAATCTGAAAATGCGATGAGTACTTCGTATTTAAAAAATTGTTGCAATTATTATTAATCTATATTTAAGAAATAAAAAAACATATCAAAATGTACCTAGTGATGAAGTCTTTTCTAGTTTATTAATAAAGTGTCTTTATTTCAGAATTTTCTAAAAGACCTTTTAAAAGAGGCTAGAAAGGAATCCATCGATGAAGACAAACTCATCGAATACACAGATACGTTGGTAAGAGAATTTCATATCTTTCTTAATAAAGTTTTAATGAAAGTGGATTGGAAAATATTATGTTTTATGTTTTCAAAAAGAAATGTTTTTAATAAAATCTCCGAATTCAGTTGCTAGCCAAGTTACAGAAGTATACATACCAGTTGTCAGTTTCCATAATACTTTTTTATCCTCACTTGTAGGAAATTGTTTCTTCACTTGATATACATACGTGGTTCGAATGCTGTCCGAAGGCATATATGATATTTCATATCTTCTTTTTCAGAAAAATCTCGTATTCTTTACGATAGTGCCGACAGTTTTGGTTAGCATTGGATGTTCTGCCTTTTTCTAGTCATTTTAAGTGGGGGAGACTGAACAGAATTATTGCATACATCGCGTATACTCTAGTGATGTAAATGATTGGTACGGTCATCTGGCATTGTAAGATATGCGGTTGGGAATCCCAGGGAAAACTCAGATGACATCTCATGTTGCCTGTTTCGAAAGAAACCGAATAGTCTATAAAACAGTACCTTAAAATATTATCAGAAATAGAATTTTTATTGTAAACTGTCTTAGGAAAATTAGTCCAAATTTATTCATGATTTTTCGAGCATGAGTTTGATTGAGTTCGTAATAAATTATTTTCATATGTTTGTGCGTCTTTACAACGTAGCTGGCTGTATTTTTAGCATCAGTTTTATTCTGTACCAGACATAGAGAGTCAATTCCCAGTCACCGGGAATTGACTCTCTATGTATTCTGCATCGCATTCTGTTATTGCTGTCATCGTAACTGTCTTTCTTGTATTTGAAACTCTGACATGTTTGATTGTTAGGTTCACTATTCAATTGGTGAAACATTGTGCCTATTTTGAAAGAGTTTGCTACGAAATTTAAAAGAAAAAATATTTCATCGCTGAATTCTTACAACAACGCATTAATGCAACGACATATTTCAAGTAGCATGAAATAATTCAGGAACGTTTTGTATGATAGTTACGTAAATGTAAGTAAAAATGTAAGTAATATATGAATTCCTTCAATAATTCAAAATCTGTTGCTTATGCATAATTCCCTGTCAGTTCCTTTTTTGTTTGTTTCTTTGTTTGTTTATACAGCGCAGATGAAATTTTCTTAAGCTACACACATGATATTATAAGGTATTTCTCCCGCCTTCTTAGCATACCTTCGTGATGAGGTGGTCCGCACGCTGGGAGCGTATTCCAGAGGTTTGTGGTTCGATTCCCGGCGAGGGAGTTGCTCATTTTTCATCTCTTCTGCTTCAATTAACCTAATGTCTCTACAGTGGCGCCCAAACTAAAAGGGTGGTGGATGGTGAATCTAAACCACCAGGATTTGGCAATTGGGTCCCCTAATCCCCACTCGCTCTTTAAAAGGGGGAGTATATAGGGTATCTCTCCGCCTTCTTAGCATGCCTTCGTGGTGTAGTGGTTCTTCTTGTTTTTATATGAAGGATCCGAAAGCTTCGAGAACATTTACTGATAAGAGTTTGAGAAAATTTAGGATTCGTCCCATTCCTAATGAAAAGTTTCAAAAATGTTTTTTATATCGTCTGTATTACAGGATAGTACGATTAAAAACAATTGGAAAACGTTTCATTTTATTTCTTCCATATTCTTCAATCTCAGCGATATATCTTATTATTTCTGAGCTTCATATGACACTCCAACAAAATCAAATCACTCTTGCTTACATCACACACTGCCATTCATATACTTCCTCAAGAAAACTCAATTTATTCTGTAGAATAGCGGAAATTGAATTCGACAGAGTAAAAAGTGTTTCAATTATCGAAAACTTTCAATTACACTCGCGCTTGAATTTAATTCCAAAATTTCGTTCTATTGCATCATTCGAGAGGAATCCTCAGAAAAATTTAATGTTGTACAGTTTTAAATATGATGCTTATTTCTGTTGCTTTTTTTTAGATTTTTCGCACATAAGTTTTATATGAAAGATTCCATTTCCCTTCAGGTTTGCAACATATAGTAAAACTATTTTATTTTTGTTAAGAGAGGCTTCTCAAAAAGTATAAAGATTTATAATTAATAAAATTTGCACTCTCATAAATTCTCCAAAATTCATTTTTTGTGGATATTATGTTACAGTTTGCCCATTTTGATAGAAATTAAAATATGTCAAGTTATCTCGCATATATTAATACTCGTTAGTTAACTGCGTTGGAGGTATCAGTGTCTTGCCATGCTCGTCTTAAAATATCTATAGTAATTCTGGCTGCAATTTCAGTTACTTTATGAATTAATTATGCCATTAATGCTTACTGTGCATGAAGCATGGAACCTTTACCTCTCTCCTACCTAAAATGCTTAAATATTTCTTAAAATTCAAGCTTGAAAACGCTAAAAAAGGTCTGTAAACTATTTAGTTTTCAGAAATTATATGCATATGTTATTAGGAGTATTATTATGAAGACCTAGCAAATTTATAGTTCTGTGAGTGTTTTCATTCTTCTGCAATTAAGGCTTTTAATTTCAACTTTAATTTTATTACGATGGTTTGAAAATAATGTGCATACTTTTTAAAATATAATTAACGTTAATATCTTTAATACAATGTGTTTTTGATGCCAAATGTTATGCAATTTCGCTGCAGAAATTTATTTGGACGTTTTGACATCTAACGCTATTAACTGTTGCATATATGTACTGTATTTATGCAACGCTTTACTGTGTGCTTAAAATTAACACATTTATCTTAATGTGAGGGAGAAATTTAAAATAGGTATATAATTATTCGTTTTTTACTTGTACTGTTATAAATTCAAGTGCAGATTCTTTACTATTTTTTTAAAACTTAATATTGACAATTTTGGCTTGTTTGTTTAGTCATTGATTATGGTAAAGCATTCAAGAAAACTACCTTAGAACGGTTAAAGAGGGACTTAAACTAGTTCCCCTAGAAACTGATATAAAATTTACTCCAATCTAAGATTTCCATACTTAATTTTATCTTTGACTTGGTTTTTGTCTTGTTCATACAAACAATGATGTATTCAAAAAGGCATGTAGTGTAAGTTAATTATATTCAGGTAGCCTCAGAAGGCTAATATCACTGAATGACGTAACACTGCTCATAAAATCTTGCCATTTTAGTTTCGTAGATAGTGGAGAGAAGTGCCGCATGTCTTTGAGGTCAAAACTTCCAAGAATGACAGCAGAAGACGCGTGTAAAGCATTTTGTCATCAATTCAGTAATGTATGACATAGTCATATTCCATCCGCTCATGCAATAAACAGATAGGTAAGTATTTTTGAAGAAACTGGTTCGACTGTGAAATAGAAAAATTGCAGAGAAACCGCGAACTGCTCATACGTCAGACAATATTGAAATTGCACAAGTTGAACACAACAAATGGCGACCACATGTCAGCAGCAGTGGCTTCAACAAAATGGATACAGAACGACATCGATGGCAGTTGCACGACAATTCTTTGACAACCACTTCCTTTCAAGGAATGGTGACATGGTATGGCTGACAATCGCACCACCTGGCAGCATATGGGTTTTTTTTTTTTTTTTTTTTTTTTTTTTTTTTTTTTTTTTTTTTTGTGTGTGTGGGTGTGTGTGAAGTCATCTTAGACAAATTTATCGTACTCGATGTTTTGCGACGAAATTATCAAAATTCCTGATGAAATGTTATCTCGTGGTCAATATTTGTCATGATCGTGGGAATTACTCAGAAGCTAGTCATCTATCCCATGTTATATTCAAAAAATACCTTCACGGTATGAAATCAACAGTGACATACTCTGTACATTCATTGGCTTCAGTAAATGCTTGAAATATGTGTTCTCTCTTATTAATCTTCGTTTCAAACTTTTCCATTCATTAAAGTCAAATAGCTACAAAATAAAAAAGACTTTAAAATTTTAAATTTGATGTTCGAGTATTTTCAAAAATTGCACCGTTAGTTTTCAGTGAAAAGAAAATAAATATTATATTTATTTGCAATTAGCAGTTTGTACGGCGAGGCGCCTAAATTTTTTTATTTAAAAAAGAAACAAATGTATAAAAATTTTAATGAATCCAGATAGTATAATTTCACAGATCCAGGTAATAATTTATAATGTTACAGACCAAGAACTGCATTTATTAACTTTAAATCGCTTAGTTTACTAATCCATAGCACACAAATTAAATTTGAAAGAAAATTTAAATAGCTTACTCTTCACTAATCGGCAATAAAATAGTGCATAGAAGGTAAAAACATTTTATTTCGGACAATGACAACACGTTTCCAGTAAATTCTTGAGTTTTCTCATTAAATTTGAAACATAAATAACTAATACTTTGCTGAGGCAACACATTGCTTTTAGATCGTCGAGTTTAATCAAAATATCCTTAAAATCTGATAAAATATAAAACAAATCAGAACACAGCTTCGGAACTCAAATTTTGAGCTTCAAGGGTACATGTTCCGATAAAAGACTATCAAAATTTGGTAGGCAGTATTTTTTTATAATGCAGGTAACATAGAAAAATATATAAATTTTTCATTACTTAGTAATAAAGATGGCTGACTTAAATTTTTAGGATGGTATAGTCTTTTATGGCAGAAGCATAGATAGCACGAAAATGCAAAAATAATTCTCTATCACTTTCCTTCTATATTTTAAACAGGGTTTAGAACATCTCATTTCTCTGAGGCGAATTCATTTATCGATAACTTTTAAAAGAACAAAATTTCTTATTCCTGAGCTTAATAACGTTGAACTTTACAGAAACGTGCTATAAAACAATGATTTTATGTCAAATTTATCTGAATACGTTAACTCCATGATTAAACGTTTGGAATATGCTTATGAGAATATTCAGAATAGGACAGGTAAAGAGAAAAAGATCAAAAACAGTCCATGGTATTAGAAGAAGGAACAAAAGCATTTTGTATCTTGTCTTATAGCACATTCAAACTTCACAAGAAAGGAACTTACATCACATAGGAAAATATCGATAAAAATACATTTTAAACAACATT